ATATAATAGAGCTATTATCAATATTTATAGTTCTTTCCAAATAATTACTAGATAAATAATTTATTGGGTGTCTCTCGCTTAAGAATTAGCCAACGTTATTCTATTATTATTCTACCTTATGTGTCCGCCTTCGATAAGGTGCGCTAGACAAGGGTCTGTAACAGACCCCTCTTTGAACTAGGTGAATTGTTGCCCCGAGGCACTCGGGTTGATGGAACTAGCTGCTCCTTGGGTATTCTAAAGTGCTTTGATCCTGACACGGAATATTCTAACAGACTGTGTGTCCCAATGAAGTCACCCGAATGTCCTAAAGACAAGTGGAACAACTAGGCTACTGTGTCTATCTCCGATCCAGCGTATCCGTATCCATACCATTGTAGAGGTCTGGTTTGTAAATCACAATATGCATAAAAACATAATTCTATCATATTTCTAATTAAACATTAGGCGAGCGTAATAATCCTTTAATCGTGATCTCGTTCCCTGCAACCAGCTGCCAGCTTGACCTCCTGTACGGCAGAGCCTTCACTCTTTATAGACACTTCAATCATTCCCACTCCCACAAAGGTCTTCTAGCTGACGACGGTGGATTCCCAGAGCGTTGTCCATGGTAACAATAGCCCAGCAATGGTTGTGCCGTGAGACTTCGTGGCGGGACATAAGTATACTTGTCAGAATATTGAGGGCACATAGACAAGAATTATGACACAACAGTCTGTATGACAGCCCCATCCCGATATAATCCTGTCTCCAGAAGGATTTCAGGATGCCCAAACGCGAAACGACTAAGGATTAGGTCATTGGATGTGGGTGGGACGGAGGAGGGCTCGGCTCGTTCGAGTTCTAGAAAAGAAAAGAAGCCGTTAGCACTAAAAAATGACCTGCATGAAGAACGAGGAGAGCTAACGGTCAACCGAGCACTGTCTTTTTCTTCGTCTGATGTACTTCCATATGAGTAGCAATGTTGAAGGGCATGCTACAAGGAGGGTAACTAATGCGATGATAGTCTCTGGAGACCACGCCATTGGCAATACGTCGAATGCATAGTATAGGACCTTGGATCGCAGGCTTCTCTACAATGCCTTATATGACAAACGACAAACCAGGCTAACATAACCAGGTCCGAAATGGAACGACAATGTATTGTAGTACAGTACAAATTCCCGCGGCACGCATAACTTTTACGGTCCAGAAACTGGAAGTAGTCGCGTGCCACCAGTATTCGGTAGTAATTTCTGCTGAGACAACAGCACCTCATCGAGCATGTGATGTCACTATCATCCTCGACTCTGCCTATAAGTTTTCGAGGAATGTGTCGTGGCTCGTTCTTGTCGAAATTGTGGCGGTGCTGTGCTGGTTGTCTGGAGGGCCGGGCAACCCCATCCTTGATTATGCTTGACAAAATAAGTAAACATTCAATGCTTATAGGTCGACTAATTCTTAAAAAGTTCGAATTCCAATCGCTCCTGAAAATCAGCACTTCTGCAAGTGTCTAAGAATTCACCTTTTATACCGATTAAATACAGATTAAAAACAGAAATCTGGAAATATAGAATGATAAATTCCTTAACAACACCGACTCCTGAGACTTTTCCTTTACAGAGTTATTGATTTGAACGTAAAAGTGCAATAAGAACTAGTTCAGTTGCAGGCGTTCAAAACTAGGCAATTTCTTTTGAATTTCTCAAAGTGGTACGAATGGTAGGTGCAAGCACTCCATGCAAGCCTCCCAACTGAGCCACGATGTCGCTACCCAATGATAAATCAGACCCAGGGATACAGCTCTGGTTACTGTGGTTAGACATCTTTTGGCAATTTTTCTCCCCGTCTCCCAAGTCGATATACACAGCTCGGTGTGGCTAGGAAGGCTCTTACTATATTATTGCCACTAACTCCACACTTCCCAGTCATCCTATCTCCTTTGCCTTATCCCCGAGGAGACGGGTAAAATACGTGGAAATAGTCTTTTAGCAAGCTGGCAATAGTATTCGTGTGACCCTAATCATGGTTGGAGAACCGTAGTTGGTTCAAGCAAGGCCGATAGTGCTCCATTCCATTTCGATTTCCGGACCAAGTTGACTTTTTTCCTTACCACGCCGAGCTGCAAGCCTATCAGACCCTACGATCTGTTTCCTATATTACAGCTTAATATTACTAGTACATTGCCCGGCGCCCTGTCAGCCACTGCCTTTCCAGTTGCAGGGTCATAGAGACCGAGTTGCCTGGGTCTCCAGTACTTCAAGCTATTTTTCTCCTTCCTTTGCTTTAATGACCGAGCTTCTAGATAGCTCAATATCGTATATAGGTCTGACGGCCGTTAACGTTTGAAGCTGGGATACAGCTACTCGGTATGGAATACGCCGCAGCCTACTAACATAGGCAGATCTAGCACAATCAGCTATCCACCTCGATGGTTGAAGCTGTTTAACGCGCGGCTACGCGCTCCAAAGTTCTGTTTTCATAAAATCCATCTATTCGCCAGGAAAGGAAAATAAATTGTATTATCCATGCTGTGCAAAAACTCTGATCCTTGAAAGGCTGTGAGACATTTGTTATGTTCAGCGACTGTGCGGCCAATGAGCCCTCTTGCCTTCATGCACGATTAGCCCAGGTAATACTTTAATACCTCTCGGTTGGTTATGTTCCAGTACAAATTATATCTTCAGCAAGGATGTTCATCACCTGGATGTGCAGGATAATAAAATACCGCTGTTTCTCTGGACTTGACGGTGCGATGTCAAGTCGGCCTGCTAGCTTTCTTTTGGTAAACCCAGTGTTCCGCCCACAGAAAGAGATACTCGGGCCGCGTCGCTTCCTTAATTACTTGTTCAGTTACCAGTATCACCATAGCTTCCGGGCTCATTGGCGTGACATCCGAAGACCCAGGCTACCCTCTTTCGGTCTCGGCTGCAGTACCCAAACTTTCACTTCCTGACTCACCAAGAATGACATCTGCAGGCACCCACGATACTCAGGGGGATCTACTACTATTCTAGAACAGCCTTTGAGCCCCTCACCCAGAGCGGGGCATCTCTTCGTTGTACCTACATCATGATTTATTTTTGATGAGACCGGTAATGTAGGTCTCATGCACTATCCAAGACCAAATCCACAAAAGTTGCCAGATGTTGTACTTCAGCTTGGCCTCATTTTGTACTGCTCTTCACGCCATAAAGAATGCTTTGCTAGCCTGCCAGGTCATACTAATTTCGGCTAGATTGAAATTGGAAGGACAGTCCCATACCATCTCCGTCTGGCAGCCATGGATATCAGATATGGATGTCAATCGGGAGCGGATCGGGAGCGGATCATCAGTTCCTTTGTTTCCAGTATATGACTCTAGTTCTTAATGGGCATCATCATAGCGATACCATTCCTATGGAACAATATCCGTATCTATCTATACGTCTTCCTGACACGAAGGCCATCTTTGTGTGTGGCTACCCCGAAAGACGTTTGAGCGCTTGATACTATACACAGGCACGAGATATTCTAATAGGGCTTTTGTCCAAAAGTCGTAGTATTTCGTCCTAGATTCCCTTGGTTTCATCTCATTCATCCAAGGGTGTATTGCTATATGGTGTATAACAGAAGAATAAGAATTCCATATCTTGAAATATGTGCCATGAGATATATATATATTACCTCCTTCCAACCTCATCTTCCAGAAGAACCTTGAAGTAACCCATCTTTCCAGTATATCATCGCGTACCTAGCCTTCTTTCCATACATTACACTATATCTCATTATGTATCCGTCATATTTGATATAACTCCGATCGTCCATGCACATACAAAGTCCTCTCAAAATCAGACCAAAACCGCACTATACTATATCGGTCCAGAAGTAAGGGCTTAAACCCTAGTTTTATACACTCCGTGAGACAGGCTATCGGATTGTGTATCTTCCTGACGATGAAACTTCAATGCCTATTACTTCGTCAAAAGCGATTATTTATCTAAATAAAAAGACACACAAATATATTGTTATACAAAGGACAATCTACCAGATTTTGAGATATAGATAGGTCTTTTTCGCAGAGTTATTCATGTCGCAGTATGCAAGTAGCGAAAATCGTTTCCACGGTCGGGGAATTATCACTGAGCTAGGCAGAATATTATATAGGAAGGCGGTGTGGCCGTCTTGACCTCGTACATGTGAAGAGGGTGTTTTCAATCGTGGTGAAGGAGGCACTTTTGTCTCTGTCAAATGGGTTCTTGGAGAGTGAGAGTGATGACGGAAGTATTTTGGACTATTACTACTGATACTGGGGAATTGGAATTGAGTTTCGAGCACTGTTACCTTTCCTATACCAAATGTGTAAAAGGTGCTTTTCGGCAGTCGACTTCTGGAAACGTTCAGATCCCTCATTTCTGCTTGTTCCTGACTCTATTATTTTGGTTGGATTTATTTCGGCTAAAGTAGACATTGTGTAAGGCTGAAATTAGCACAGCCCGCCTTTAAAGAATAATATAGGTTATGGTTAGAAGGTCACGTTATGTTCAGGATAGACGGCCCATTCACACAAACAGAAGACCATAAGTGTCTTTGCCATTAGTAACTGATGCAATGCTCATGCACCTGTATAGTAATCTCTAGGTTTATCGTCTAATGAACGTATTCGCCAAACTTCTTAAACTCTTCATCGGCCGCTAACCGCGCCATATCTTCCTCCCTCAATGAGACAGCAACAGAAATCTCGCCATCGGGCCTCTTGGGCATGAAATAAATCAAACCTTCAACCGGAGTGAACTGGGGTCTTCGCACAGCCTCTGGTGTTCCAAGGCCGAATCCGAAATCCAAATCATAGCAGTTCACACTTGCCCACGAGCTAATCATAATATCTGTCGACGGATTAAAACTGGCTCCAAAGGAGATGCACGATTTGTCCAACGCATGCTCAATGTATGTTGCCAGCGCGCGGGTGTGAGATCGTAAAGAAGACGTCTGCGGGTCTATTGCCGTTCTGAGTTGTGAGGCAATGACGCCTAGAGGTTTGTCAAGTAAGCCTTGCATTGTATCGGTGTGGTATACCATGTTTTGCATGAGACCAGCGTATGTAGGGGGGATGCCAAAGTATTTCCGCACGTCAACAGCACGACCAAACGTTGTGCTATGAGACGGTGAGAGCCGCTTCAGGCGGGCGCGAAGCACCGATTGCCAAACGAAGGCGCTTAGTGCATCATCTGTCGATATGAATTCAGAGGTCTTCGACTGTTCAGCAAGCAATTTCAGTCTAGCGAGCGAGGTTTTGTCGAACGAAAAATATGACCAGGTAGACTTTGGGGGAGGCGTAGATGGTTGCTGAGGTCCCGGCCTGATTATTTGACGGTCGAGTTCTGGCCCGGGTCCATACGAGCCATCTAGAAGGGGGACCAGGTGACCTTCCACCAGGTTCCCGGACTCTAGCTCTAAATCTGTATATGTGTCTCCACGGCACGCTTTCGAGAGCAGGTGGATAACCTGCCCCTGACCAGTCATGTCCATTGTGTTATGATGGCCAACCAGAGTGAGGATTAAGCCACCGTGAATGAAAGTAGCTTGGACAAGAAAGGCTGGTGAGATAGCATCTTCATCAGGGCTTGGCAAAGTTTTTCGAGGAGCAATGATGTTCTCGTCTAACATCCGAAAGGGAAAATTGGCGTGTCTCAAGTCATCCATGGTCGGTACGTTGGCATCATGACGAAAGTCTTTCACGACCAGTGGCGGAGTCTTCCCAAGTGCTTTGATCTTAAACGTGCCAGAATTGCCATGGCTGCTGCCTTCACTGACTATCTGACCTGCTACCCACGGGAAGTTGATGGACAGAGTTTCGAGGCCTTTCTGCAGGGTCTGGACTATCTCGTAGTGAGATGAGACATCGAAAGGAAAGCAAAGGCAAATCTGTGTGTAGAGCTTGAGGGCAGGTAGCTGACCCAGGAAGTCCAGCTTGACAGGTAAGGCATCCATGATGCACGATGTTAGTGCTTCCAAAGAACTGCCTGTTACTATCGCGATATATAAATCCAACGCCGCTGAAGACGCGGGGGATGATTAATTATGAATCATAATAGCTCATGACCAATAATATTTCATAGTCGCGATTGTGGATACCCAGGTGGATCCGAGGGGTCGGGTTTTAGCCAAGTCTCAATGCACTTGTATAGATTGTGCGAAGGACCACAAAAAGGCCTGGGTTAATATTTTTGGCGTTTGATTATGGAATGCCCAACCAGGTACAACTGGTGCATCACATTACTCGGACTTTGAGCTATGAACCGTCGAGAAAAACTCAGATTGTCAGGGAAGATATTATCTCTTTTAGCCGATTCATATTAGCTGGCTTGGTGAGAAAGAGATCGATACCACTCCTCATTGCATCTCTCTTCATGGCCGGGGTATCGACTGCAGTCAACGCGATGATTGTCACCGGGCGCAATGAGTTATTCTTTTCATACTCGCGTATTTTCTGCGAGGCGGTTACACCATCCATGACCGGCATGGAGAGATCTGACCAGTTAATAAGTGAGCTACAAGGCGGAAGAGTGCTATCTTACCCATGATAATGGCTCGAAAGGTCTCGCTTTCAGCTTTCTGTACTGCTTCAAGCCCGTTTACAGCACTTTCATAAGCAAACCCGGCTTTTTTCATAGTAGTTTGTAGAATCTGGTCTGACGGTCAACAAGGTAGTGCACAGGGCATTATGGTGTTCATACCTTGAGGTTCAAGTCATTGTCTTCGACAAGCAGAACCTTGCATTGATTCGTTGGGTCCTTCTCATTGAGCGATATGGAGCCCTGGCTATTTGTGGGTTCTCGTTTATCGACAAACAAGTTTTTTTCATCCGACTCCTCCTGATCTTGCTTTTCATCTTCTCGTGATATAGACGTGGTAATTTGCAGCTGGCGCTGGCACATATCTTCAAGGGTGACTGTGTTTGCTTCATGCACTGTGTCAATACCTGCATCACGCAACTGAATCCTTTGTTCAATACAGCTGGTGAAAGCAGAAGCTAAAGTCTTAGGGGAAATCGGTTGCTGAAGAAACACCACTGGCTCCTGGGGGTCCCGGCGCTCATTGAACCAACTATGGGCATGCGTGCAGAGCACAATCTTGGGAAACGACGTTTTTGGATTTTTCCGGGCTTTCGACTTCCTAGAATAAGTGGCTGCGCTTTCTTTAGCTTCGCCATGGCGGTATTCATGCTCAGTAATTATGAAAATGTCCGGATGTTCGTGGTCCCGCTCCCTAGGCGTAAGAACACGCACCCCAAACCATTGGGTGATCATCCTTTCCATGCTGAGCAACATTGTACGAAAGATCTCTGGGGCTATCTTCAGGTCTCCATATTTTGAGCTATTGGGGAACAGGGAGATTGTTTTCCCTCGCAATTTCTCACGTAGTTCCCGATACGGAATGGAGGGTGATGACGGTCGCGAGGTTGGGGTTATAGGTAGAAGGACGCTGACCACCGTTCCTCGATTAGGTTCACTCGTTAGGTCTATCAGGCCACCCATCGAATGTACGATACGATAGACTACATTGAGTCCAACACCAATGCCTGGCGAGAGAGAATCTTCCTGTTGAAATGGCGTGTAGAGGTTTGAGAAGGAAAAGTCGGGTGAGATTCCCCGTCCCGAATCGCTTATTTGGAGGAGAATAGCCGGCAGGCTCTCGTGTCCAACCTTCACCGTGTCATGTCGAAGCTTTACCTGAACAAACCCTGATGGCGTGAACTTCAGGGCGTTGCCAAGGAGATTCAGCACAATCCGCCGCCAGGCACCAGCAGAGGCACGGCATTCCCAGCCTTCTCGACATTCAATATCCACGATCGCAAAAATCGCCCTAGGAACGGAATTGGGTATTTTTGACTCGCGAAATGGCCGGTCGGCCGTTTGTTTTGTGGGAGAGAAAAGGGCCTCCGCATTACGTCCCATATAATCTTGACTGGCGAGAAGCGCTCCAGCTACCTCTTCGACCAAGGTAGCCATATTCACCTGATCGATTAGAGCAGGAGCATTAAACTGGGATGCTTGAGGTGTTTCAGCATTATCTAGCGACCGATTGAGCGTCGTTGATCCAAGAAGGCTATTTATTTTGGCATAATCTAATACATGATTGACCGTATCAAGGAGAGTTTTGCCACAGTTCATGGTTATGTCAATCAAGGACTGCTGGACATTCGACAACTTGGTCTCTTGAAGAAGATCAAGCATAGTGAGTATTCCATGTAGGGGAGATCGCCACTCATGTGACACTGACGAGATAAAATCAGCCTTCTCGCGATCCGCAGCTCGCAGATCGAGGCGGGAAACTTCTGCCATGACGCTGTTATTGAACGCTGCAAGATACGTTAGATCTGTGGACTCAGCGAAGAGACGCTTAGAGTCTTTTGTCCAGGCAAAACAACCCGCAAACCACTTATTTTGCTGAAAATCCCAAAGAGGAAAAAATGCAATACTGGTCGCCTCGGAGAATGTTCGAGCGATCTGACGCATGTCAATGCCATAGTAACTCGACGCCATATCTTCTAGCGACGAGCAGGACCCGTCGATGTCCGACGAATACTCGTCGCTCAAAGGTGAAAACGTGTCCTCATCAAGATGAAAGATACCACCTCTTCCATACCGTTGGACTAAAGTTCCCAAAAGTGATATCGAAACGTTTATATCCTGATTCTCACCCTGAACTGTAGAACACCCCAACACATGGCCCGCCGAATGTTCGTCCTCGACTATATCCGGGGATCGGGACCGTGAATTGCTCGACGCTTTGAATGAGAGACCATGACGCTCCTTATTGAACGCACTGATATCCAAAAATGCAACGCCATCCACATCCAGGGCCTGTCGAATCAAAGTCGATGCCCTGTGAAGAACTGAATATGTGTCTTCAGAAGTCAGAGACTCTCTCCGTGCTCTGCGTGGGGGCGATCGGGAGCGATAGGAATTTTGACAACCGCGTAATGGGATGCCCAGTTCGGTTTGTGGAATATGGGACGGAGGTATATCCAGCATCTTCTGACTGTTGGCAAAATGGATGGAAGTCACAGGGTCAAGTGATCTAGACGATTCAAAGACGGGAGGTTGCCGCCCAGGATGGCTGGAGGCCAACCATTCTTCGATATCCGATTTCCCTCCCATAAAGGCGCCTAACGCCTTGATCATTCTCTCTCCTCGATGCTCTTCACGCATTGTCCGCAATGTAGCCAGATGCTCCAGCGTAGTACCCGCCCGACCTTGGAGAAGCCGAAGCTGTTTGTCATCTACTTCATTGCCTTTGGCGCTCCCATATAACTCGATAATCCCAATGACGACGCGAGCTGGAGTGCGGACCGGGACTGCAAAATAGGAGCGATTCCGGGAGAGTGTTGACCAGTAGGCATCAAATCGCGGATCCGGCGCAAGGTCTGTAACCAAAAACCAATCTCTGTTGTCTTCGATGAATGCATGTAAAGCGTGATGACACGGCGCGGCATTGTCACGATGCCAATCGCGCTTGTTGCGAGTGATTGATGGCGTCTCGGCCAAGACATACTGGGCCTTGCGGTCGCATAGAGAGATAACGACACGATCGGCACCCACTTGCAGTGCAGTCAGCTGAGCAAGATTGGTTAGGATATCTGATGATGAAGCTTTTTCGGACGAGCCATTATGGGGTGGTAGGTACCTATAGCAATTCACAAGGTCAGATGAGTGCTCCGAACAATGTTTGGTGAGCATGGTCATACTGGTGCGCTTCTCTCTCACGAAAAAGCTCGTTGCGCCGCGCATGTTTCCCCCGCCGTGGGAGATGAGGCGAAGAGTCTCTGGCGGACATCATCGCGAGGAACCGAGCCAGAGCATGGGAGTGTGTAAACAACAAGAAGTGGAGCGAACATTGTGGTGGTAGAAAAAGAAAAAGAAATGTGTGTGTCACATAAGTTGAAAGGTTGGAAGTGGCGAGGTTGTGGTTGAGCTCGACAGCTCGGAACCTGGACCATGGCTAAGGCTCCCCACCGCGCATTTCTGCCTGGTTATTGGCGGCCCGTCGTGCCGGCAGTAGTTGTGTCGTAATGGACAAATGAAACCTCCCCGATGAATGAATCCAGGCACATTAAATGGAGTCCTAAGCCAGGACATGATCCAGGTTTTCAGATCACAGGGGAAACCATGCAATCTAATACGCTCATCATGCAATCCGGAGTCCTCATTACGCGGAGGCAACTGCCGATCATATCCCGCGTTAACATGTTATCTCTACAGCATAGAACCGGATTTTGAGCCAAATATGCACTGGAACATGTCCTCTTTCGTGTGATAGTCCTGGAAGAAGTCTATGAACACGTTTCAGAAACATATGTGAGGATATATCCTTTGACAGTGAAGAATGGTTCGGCATGTGGTTAATAGGCTTTGCAGCCTCAAGGATCTAGCGGATCTCCTGAAGATGAACGATCTGGAGGCATATCGATATTTTGCCTCTACCAGAGGAAAGTGAAAGCGTCCAGATCACATGGACATTGTGAAGCCCGCAACCTGGAGGAGCGATGCATTGTACCGCTATAGACGAGAAGGCTCAATATGAGTGCGTGGTAGAGATACCGACCATCGTGAGGTTCCAGTTCCATTAAATAATGGATGGTATGCGCATGAATGTATTAAATCCCTTATTCAGCGTTAGAAAGAGGCTGTGAAACAACAAAGCCACAATCCTAAGAACACGATGGCGATCGCACCGGGTATATTCCTCGAATTTAGCCAAAAGTCGCGATGGAATAGAGACATCGGCGCAACTCCGACACCCACACGAACATCCCACTTGACGTCTTCGGCCCTGAAATCGTCTCCCGAGTCCCGATTGAGTTGTCTCTCTTTATTAACCGCTATGAATCCCATGTAAGCTACGAGTATTCTCACAAAGACGATTGAATAACTCAGGAATATCTACTCTTCACTCACAGCCATCATGTCCAAACCTACCATTGGCTTCGTGGGCCTAGGAGCCATGGGCTTCGGCATGGCCACTCACCTTGTCCACGAAGGCTACCCTGTCCACGGCTTTGACGTATTCCCTGCCTCGGTACAACGATTCCAAGCAGCCGGAGGTATTCCTGCAGCATCACTGCGGGAGTCTGCAGAGGGAAAGTCATTCTACGTGTGCATGGTTGCATCTGCGCCCCAGGTGCAATCGGTCTTATTCGACGAGGAAGGCATTGTAAAATGTATTCATTCCTTTGCCACTCTTGAGATAGTGTCTCTATGTTATCAAACAGCGTTTCGTGAAGAACTAACGATGCAATCTAGACCTCCCCCAAAATGCCACCCTCCTCCTTTGTTCCACCGTCTCCGCCTCATACGCCCAGTCCGTCGCGGCAGAACTGCAATCGCGCGGCCGCGGCGATATCCTCTTCATCGACAGCCCCGTCTCGGGCGGTGCCAAACGCGCCGCGGACGGAACGCTCTCCATCATGGCAGGCGGTGCAGACGAGGCACTTGAAAGCGGTCGCGACTTGCTGCAGACCATGTCCGCGCCGAGTAAACTGTACCTTGTGCCCGGGGGCATTGGAGCCGGAAGTAACATGAAGATGGTACATCAGGTTCTGGCAGCTATCCACATACTCGGGGCCAGCGAAGCCATGGGACTGGCGGCGCAACTGGGTCTGGATGCGCGCCAGACAGCGGATAAGATAATTGGATCTGATGCGTGGACGTGGATGCACGAGAATCGGTTTCCGCGCATGGTGGAGGAGGACTGGAATCCTGGTGCTAGTGCCTTGACTATTATCTTGAAGGATGCGGTAAGTGCTCATTTCAGCACTGGGGATGTTGAGTATTAGGGACAATGCTGACGATTGTACAGGGTATTATCACGACCTCTGCCCGTCAACACCGGTTCCCCATTCCCCTCTGTACCACCGCTGAACAGATCTACATCTCTGCTTTACTACAGGGATATGGACCGAAAGATGACTCGGCCATGGTGCGCCAGTACTTTACCACTCCTATTGCTTCTGTAACGGCATCCGCGGAAGATAAGAGCGCTGCGCTGCAGCTGGTCCTAGACCTGATGCGCGGCGTCAACCTGGTCGCTGCTGCGGAAGCCGTTGCCTTTGCACGATACCTCAAGGTCGATCTCGCGCAGTTCTACGACCTTGTCAGCGCCGCCGCGGGCGGCAGCAAGATGTTTAACACGAAAGGTCTGGAAATGATCAAGGGACAGATCGGCGAGGAAGCACCCGCCGGATCACAAACAGTTGACGAGGCCATCACAAGACTAGAGGCGGTGGTACAACAAGCTAGGGATCTGCATTGTCCATTGCATTTAGGCAATGCAGCACTGAATGTGCTTTTCACTGCTCGGAGGGCTGGGTTGGGAGCCGAGGGCGCGACTAGCGTGATCAAAGTATTTGGAAAGGAGTAATTAAAGCGTTAGTTTTCACGAGATACCGAGTTTAGATTATGTTATGGATATACGAGTTCGCAATTCAGGCACAGGCACCCTGACGTCAGTCGGAGGAACTCCGGGGGTCGGAGATCGGCGCGAGTGGGGGTTCACCATCGCGTCGACTTTCATATGCTCTGCGACAATACATATAATAATCCCATTGTTCCACTATCTGGTCTCTGGTAATCACTTTCCTGACTGTAACTGATCTATCTTGAACTGGGGACACAAACACAAGCCATTCAAGATGTCTCTCTCCAACAATCGCGCCCTCGATATCCTCAACCACGCCGCCTCAAACCACTATGGCGTCCCCGCAATGTGCTGCTACAACCTCGAGGGCATTCTAGCCACTGTCCGCGCCGCCGAAGCGAAGCGCTCGCCAGCGATGATCCTCCTCTTCCCATGGGCTGTCCACTACGCCGACGGACTCCTCGTACACGCCGCCGCCGAGGCCGCGCGCAAGGCGTCCGTGCCGATCACCGTGCACATGGATCACGCGCAGACGCCGGAGATTATCCGTTATGCGGCAGACCTGGGCGGATTCGATAGTATCATGGTTGACATGTCACATTACGAGAAGGAGGAGAACCTCGCTCTCACGAAGGAGCTAGTCGCGTATTGCCATGAACGGGGGATTGCGACAGAAGCGGAGCCCGGACGGATCGAGGGCGGAGAGGACGGAGTCGCGGACACAGCAGACTTGGAAGGATTGTTGACCACACCGGAGGAGAGTATTGAGTTTGTGGATACGGGGATTGATTGGCTGGCGCCTGCGTTTGGCAATGTCCATGGCGAGTATGGGCCCCGTGGCATTCAGTTGGAGTATGACCGATTGCAGCGCATTCATGATACGGTTGGAGATAAGGTCCGGTTGGTGCTGCATGGAGCTGATCCGTTTACGGAGGAGATCTTTTCCAAGTGCATCGAGTGCGGTGTCTCCAAGATCAATATTAACAAGGTGCTAAATAATGAGTACGTGCGTGTACAGAGGGAGAAGGCTGGGAGGGTGCCGTTGACGGCTCTGCTGGAGGAAGCTACGAATGAGATGCAGAAGGCTGTAGAGAGGTGCATGGATATGCTGAAGTCGACTGGGAGATACCCCTGATTTTGTTTGTAAAAGCATAGATAGCAAAAGATATCGTCGGGTACTTGAAGCTCTTTTCGTTCTCTTCCCTTCTCAGTTGACTAAAAAGGATACTATGAGCCCGCTAGGGGTACATTAAAAGTCTAGTCATGCAATTGCCTTGTTGATAGGAAGGGACCTAAGTCTCAGACGCCATAATCTATCCCCAGAACCTAGTATACAGGAGATCTAAGAACACAAAGCTTTGCGATCACTGACTGGAGGCTCCAGTCTCTGTCGGTAGAGCTCTCTTTTTGTTACCTCGGCTACTCCGTACAAACAGAGCGAGACTTCTCACGCACGACGTGCGAGCTTAAGGTCCCAAATACCGCATCCATCATTCCACCTTTCGTTGAGCCGGTTATAGATCGCACATCGGCCGATGGCCGACGCCACTAGGTTCGGTTGTCCACTCGGCTCGGGGTCCATTTAACCGCATTAGCACTAACAGAGGGTTCACCCAGATCAGGCTCTAACTTTAAGCTTGTGCTAAGGACGCCAACCATCTAAAGCAAATCAAATCAGCCCTGTTTGGACCATAATCAAACCCCCATCTACCCAGCTCTAGGTCGGAATACTACCGAGACCAAGCGATCAGACCCTTCACTGTGACCGGATAAAGGCCTCAGGATCAACAGGGTATTATCTCATATCAGAACTCCAGGTGATTAAAGACAAGCCGCATCATGGCGCCCTCGAGCGGCAACGGGTCAAGAATCTTCTCAAGATATGCCGGCCAGTCGTCAACCCATTGCAATAGGGGAAAGATATGAGCGTATTCCCAGTACGAAGGATACCATCCAGCAGTTTCCCAGTCCACAAGAGCAGCTACTTCATACTCTTCTTCATTTGTGATAGGATTAACGACCTTTCTGACAAGAACATTCTCTCTGTAAAGATCTCCGTGGGTGAACATAGGCGGATGGTTGTGAAGTGCTACTGGGAGGTGGCGAGCGAGATAGTCGGAGAGAAAGTTGTTAACATTTGACTCGCTCCATACAGCTTTTGAGCGAAGTGCGATAGCTTTTCCGAATTCTTCCTCCGCCTGAAACGGGCCGGTAACAGCAGGGTCGTTTTGACGGGACCAGAAATATCTATGGGGAACGGGTCCTCCGTTGACACTGCCGTAAAATCCGAGCGATGGTAGCTCTCTCATTTGATCGAAGATGCATCGCAATTGTCCAACAATTGAATGTTTATTTACCTCAGTGAGCGAGGGCCACGCCATACCTAGAGAAATACTGGGGATATATTCCATGACGATGTATAGGGTGTCCTGATCGCGGTACATAGCGTAAAGTCGTGGGGCTGGGATATTGAGCCGTTTTTCAACAAAAAGTAGAGCATATCCCTCGTTTTCATTCACAAGCGGGCCATATTTCACAACATATTTGTCTCTGATTACGACGAGGCGCCTGCCATAATCTGATCTCTCGGGGAGGGTTTGTGTTGCCTGTTCAATCTCATTCTGATCAGGAAGAGGCCCTGGTAATTGACCAGCATCCCGATAATAAGGAAGAGAGAATGGCATGGTTGGAGGGCAACGTTTCACTGAATGGAGCAGAGGATGGCAAGCTCTATAAATTAAGGATTATTTAGTAAGAGAGAAAGATCCATAACTAACCTGTTTGTCAGCATTGAGTGGTCACGGGTTTTCGACATGCCGACCGGCTGTAAGACAACCCTAGAAGATGTTGGAGTGACCGTGAAATAGTCATCATTAAGTTGCTTGTACTGTGAGGTCTGACTCTTATAGATATATAGCTAGCTACAACAGATCCAACAGAAGGAACTCTACCACGGTATTTTCCCGACCCCATTGGATAGTGCCCTCCTTGCATTTGTACATGCCGCCACCGCGTATACCTTCCGGCGAGTCAGCCAGACCTAGCCACTCTCATTCAATCTAATACATCTCCAGAGACATCCCATCATTGATCTCATAATCACTAAGTGTTATGTGATCCTTATAAATAGTATACCACTTCTTAAGTTGGATCTAAAGTACACATCAGTATTCCTTTTTCCCTTTGCCTATACCTCCTATAGTGGGTAGAATATACCTTGCTATGGTCAACCCCAGTCTGGTCTTGTATAAGTTTCTTCAAGTCACCGATTGTGATTTCTGAATCGCATTTAACGTGAACCTTTCTCCCCGAACGATCGGTACTGAACATTAACGCAAATTTAGCGAATAATGGTGATTAAAAGGTGGGGGAAAGTGCGTACGCTGTTACTTCGATTAAAGCCATTATGTCTGAATTGTTGTGGTTTGGTTCAGTGGAATTTCTCTGAGACGTTCCTTTGAATGGTTTTTATAACCGACCGTGACAATGGGGGGTTAGAATACTCCGGTACGTGGCTTGATATTGCAAACTAAACTGGATTTACTATGACAGGGTGCGAAAGGATTGGATATGTCTGTAGATCATTCCCTTGTACGAATGCTATAATAGGAAGATTCCACTCACGATCTGGAAGTTAACCGCTCCACAGGGATCCACATGATCGTTTGATACCCTAACTCAGTCCGAGATCGCCGCGATCGGTCTTTTCTCTTTCCTCTTTAGCTTCGCTTGGGTAGTCGTTTGGCTTCATACTATACGAAGTAGGAAAGGTCAGGTTGTCTCACTTATCGCCTGACCGCTAGTTCGTGTGGTGTTAGATCTTACTTGGTTAGATATGAAGTCGTGTTGAAGAGACCTCTGCGGAAACGGTCTGGACCTTTTCGAGAAATTATGTCAGTGGAGTCTCGTTGATCTCGTTATTGTTGGTGGCCTTTAATACGACCCTAATTTCATAAGGGGGGTTATGGCATTGGCCGGGCGAGGGTACGAAGGTTGTTGATACGTAGGATGTTCAATCACTATATAGGACGATATGGTAGTAAAAAAGCCATGCGCTCTGCAGTGAGCAACTTTGAATCTTTTAGAAACTTATGTAGAAAGTATCTTCAGTCCAGTAGTCTATGTTGACCCCCAACTCTGGTATTTATCAATCACCAGTCGCCTAAAGTCCGGATTCTTGAGCATCGGACTCTTGAACCCGCGATCAAGGTGTCTGCGACAGGTAGCTTCAGCATGCTCTTCATCCCTAGCTATGATTTCTTTTATTAAGACAGATGACGGTAGTTCGTTATGCTTATTCTCTATGCTTTGTTCTGTTGTATGTTAGTGTTGCTCAGACACAACATGCGCGTATATCTCTTGATTGCCTCACTTGTGGGGAAGTCACTTGTATTTAGATTCACTTGATTCCTCAGTCCTGTAGTGCAGTTTATTATACCGTAATCCTGCTTTGCGGATGGGTGCGGTTGGTACGCCTCAATGCGAGGGCTGTCGTTTTGCGGGAACTCGGGTTCCTGTATAGACACTTTCAGTGGTCATATCCCATAAAACGGTCGGAAATGTCTCATACGTCGTACGATGCAGCTGTATCAGGTACAGTGCTCTCTCTATCTAGTGCTTGGCTCCCTTAGCCCCTTTCACACCATATGCAACAGTATTAACAATCAGTGCGGTGCCTCAGATGGAATAATAAGTAAGCAAGATATTCGTGGAGATAAGAAACGGTGTTGCAGAAGCTCACTTGTGAAGGGAAGCAGAGCGATGTTTCCAAAGAATCTCGCCGTACCGGTACCAACGTCCTTGGCCAGGTTCTTTCTCTTCGGCTTTTCTACACTTCTTTCGTCGCTCTGCCGCATTTTAGTTATTCAAACAGAAGGCCTTCTAATTAACAAAAGTTCTTACCTTGCGTTGCATCCCGGGCAGCATGCTAACCAGATCCGAGGCTATGGCGATATTCTTTGCGGCAGTCGTGGCCCCGTTCCAATAATCCCTTGCAGTATCCTTAAAAGGCCTTGAGCTTTCGCATTGGATATTATAAGCCTGGCGGGTAATTCTACAAATTTCCGCCATCAGAGGTGAATATGTCATGGTACCTTTCAAAGGAAACGCTTACAACACAATATCAGTCTGTTTTATGAGCCGCTCTTCCAGCAGAACTGTTGCTGCTTCGGGAGAGATCCTCGACGATGGCCTATTCCAGATCTGATACATAGCCAAGTTCTGGTTCGTGATGTCACATTTCTGGACCTGCGGTGGTAACCAACGATAAAATGCTTGAATGGCGCTCTCAAGACCTGATTCATCATGTACCTGCCTTTGAACAACACGAGTTGACTCTTGAATGTCTGGACGAAGGCAGAATTCTAGTGCCTGGTATAATGCGTCGGAAGAAAGCACGTTACTCGTGAGCGGAGCTGCTGCTGCACCAATACAGGACAGGCTTATACCTCTTGATAGCTGACTATGGATGTGTGTTAGTGTGCTTGGAATGCAAAATGCTCCGTTTTCGGGGAGAGCGTACTCCGTTGTATGCGGGATTACCACGCTTGGCTTTCCATATTGTAAGGCCAGTGCGCTCTGATCAGTACTTCCAGAGTGGACAACGACGGCAACCCGTGGCAGAAGCCATGCTGCATGTTAAGTTGCGTTAGAGTTTGTCTGACTAGTTCTATGTTATACGTACCATGAGGGGTAGTATCAACCAGGAACACGTTGTTGTCGTTTAAAATTCTACAAATATCACGGCAGTCTTGTGACAGTATGGCACGAAGCCCACGCTTTACCACGGCATCCTGTATGGCTCGTGCCAGCATACCAGGGGTTTCCATAGTGTGTTCTTGCACCATGAAGTATATCGGTGGTGAGCTTGACTGAATGAAGTCGCTCAGGTCTTTCGCCGGACTATATTGCGCTTCCTCATCCGTAAATACATAGCCCGACGTATCTGCCCACCATCAGCGATCGATCGATCTTCACAACAGCTGGACGGATTAATTGGCATACCAATCATACTATCCCAATCACTTGGTCTTGAAACAAGTACTTCAGGGCAGAAATAGGTATGGGCAATATCGTTGTCGGGTATGAGTCTTCCACCGGTAGCTGATGAGATGCTGTTAAGACCTAAGACATGTTGCCGGAATCGGTTTATGGGCTCAATGATGCTGAGCTCACCACTCCATTAGTTCTGGACAATAATCTCAAACCCCTATAGTATCGTATACTCACGTGTTCCAGATAGTCTCCTCGATGAGCGCATAAGATAGAATATTCGTCATGCTTTGGTCCATGGCTTCACTCCCTTCTATCTGGGCCAGCGGATGGGGAAGCGTCTTTGTCGGACTCCAAATCACGGTCGACATGATATGCAGAGGAATTGAAAGTCGCTCAGCACAATGTATATGCGCGTGGGCCAGTGGATTCGCAATAATCGCGTCCGCGAGGAAAGGTCGGCGTTCGCCTTTGTATGACGCAATGCATGCTCTCCACGAGTTGTGATAGCTTTGATATAGTGAACCCTTGATGCTACCGGGACCCTCGTTCATCCTACTAGGCCCACCTCGCCCTCCAGCATTATGTATGTCACTCTAGTAAATACTGTCAGTCAATTGGTTTCTCCGGGGCAGTATAGGTCCAAGTACATGCCAGCGGATGGATCATATCGTAGCTAATAGCGAAAAAGTCAAGGCCTTGGTCTTTTATCAAGGTTTCACATGAGGCATGCGCGGCAATCCGAACCCGATGTGAGTCCCGAAGCAGTCGAGCACCAACTGCAACAAACGGCTCGATATTCTCTGTTTTATCCTTCATTTAGTGATGAGTCAAAATGGGCAGAACAGCATGTGGGGTTTCTACCTCCCACGACCATTATCACAATGTCCAAGGGTGCTCCTCTGAGCTCCGATCGTGGTTGTCTGTCGGATAGGCCATCTTCTGGCAGGGCATGTGAATCAGATTGCAGATTTATCAGCCGTGGTTGCGCTTTCGGTCGCAGAAATGCTTGAATGAATGCCGATGTACGCGAACCGGATCTTAGATCAGTGATAAACTGCTGATTTTCTTTGGGCATGGCAAAAAGAATGTTAGCAATTCTATCCAGGCATTCTGAGTTTCGTAGCCATAGAAGTAGTACCACAAACTGTAGCGCAATCACTCCCTTGTTGGAAAATATTTGTGAAATCAGGTGCGAAATCCGGCTCCACCGTCCACAAGGAGGCCTCAGAGGAAGCAATCGACGAAGCCCGAGGCGAATATGCCGGTGGTGGATCGGAACTGTCATGCGGTGCCTGATTACTGTCATCGATTGGTATGTCTTTCTTAACGGTCATCTCTTTTTGTTCGAAGATGATTCAAGTAGGGTGAAGATTCAACTCGTGCAAGTCGATCAGGGTCTGCTGTTCAGACGAAGTCTGCCAAGTAAGGAAACAACAGGAACAAAGAATAATAAAAGAACATGGACCCGGCATTCTGCTCCCAATATATGAGTTACAGCGGTCGATTATGCCTTCATCGCGTCTTGGCCTGAAACCGAACGACTTTTATTTCTGTAACTCGATGACTATGTTCAAAAAGTAGATATCCAAAGGAGTCGATTCTATTGGCCCAAGCTAGTGGGTCCCGAAATAAGCTTGTCGGGTTCGTATTCGGCTTCGGACTTTAACGACCCATATCGTTAGGCATGTCTTGTTGACTGCCTCTAACGTACTTGCCCAATACTAGCATATCAATATCCTCAGTCCATAGCCGAGCTGCCTGCAAGACTACGAGTGAGCGTGCAAGAAGGCTGAAAACTATTTCCCCCCCCCCAAGTTTAAGACACCAAGAGTATGCGAACCGGGTCCGGATTGAAAGGGCGCCGATCCCATCAGAAGTCACGGACCGGTTGCCAGCAATGTAAGCAAAGAAAGGTCAAGGTACATCAGCCTCCGAGTGCAGATCATACCGTGTGATAGGGAAGCGGCTGACCCAACCATAGTGTGGGGAAGAGAAACCGACTTGTGGCAACTGCAGGAGGCATGAAGTGGACTGTTCTTTTGCCTTCTCCCAGACGAAGGGCTCAACCTCAACCGATAGCCAGCTATCGCCTCGTAGTCGGACCCTAACACCCCTATGCATGCCCGGGGCGATCCACTCGAGTTCGCCAGGTGATTGCAGCCAATTACAGGCAACCGCTAGCTCTGAATTGCATATCCCAGATTTGGAGCTACTGCACCATTATACCACTTCAACCGCCTACACATTCTCGCTCCATCCACTCTTGCAAACATTCTGGCGAGTCGAGGTCCCTCGAATTGGGTTTACCGCACCATACACTCTTCGAGCAATTTTAGCTATATCAGCCCTACATTTGGCGGTTCTGCGTCCAGAGCAAATGCAGTTCTACATCACACAGGCGAACACTCACCATGAAGCAGCACTGAAGCTGGCTACTCCCGAGATGGCAAACATAGGCCCGGATAACTCGGCTCCATTATTCCTCCTATCCGCCTTGTTATCCTTCATCAGTTGTGCGAAACCACTCAAATTGGGTAACTTCTTCCTTTTGGAAAACAACAATATTGCAGACTGGCTCCTGCTCATCCGAGGCACCGGGACCATCCTCGACATTGCCGACCAGTCGCTCAAGACGGGACCATTGGCGTCGATGTTCAGCGTACGGGCTCAACATCGGAAGTTTACAACCACCAAGCGACATCACGTTCTAGAGGAACTATGCCAACTTATCCTGGCTGAGGTCCAGGATCAACACATGGTCCATATGTATATTGGCACACTTGATGAAATGAACCGATCGTACGCGATGTGCTTGGAGCATGGCCTGCGTCTTGAGACAGCGGATGTCTTTGTCTGGCTAATACGTGTGCCATATGAGTTTCTGGTACTTCTAAAAAACTACGAACCCTTGGCTTTGATAATTCTCGGTTACTTCTGCGTTCTACTGCATCAGTTAGAGTGGATGTGGTGTATGAAAGGCTGGAGTAGTCATCTTCTGTCGCAGATCTATGACCAGCTCAGTACAACACATCGTGTTTGGATTCGATGGCCAATGGAGCAAATTGGCTTTCTTCCGCCTATGTGATATCCCGTATTTGCTCAGGAAATGGATGTTTCTGATTTTGATTCGCGGGAAATGGCCAAACTCAAGAATTTGAATTTATTTCTCCGTATTGTGATTGATTCCCCCCTGCATGATCCCCAATACTTCTGAGGTATGGCACTTTCGACCTTGACAAGCACGCTGAAGGGTGCATTAACAGCCCTCCATGGTGATTCTTGATCGAGTACAGCCGCTAAATCTGTACCAGAGAAACCTATATTGCATTCCAGCCGCCGCGCATGAGATAATCCAGTTGTCACGCCAGGCAACACCATATGTCATTCCAACGGCATACAGGTGGTCAGGATTCAACACACTGCCGGCTGTACTCATGTAACGCCTGACAGTCACATGTTTCAACGATGAATAATGTATTGTTCTCATCCTATCTGACAAATTAATGAGCTTCATGCGAGTCCCTTGAGAATCGATTCACACAGCGATAACGGTCCTAAGAATATATGGATTACCAAGAGCATCCTCCGCCGAGATGGCACCTGCATCTCGTTTCAGCTTGCACCAAGATAACTAGCACAAGGCCTGCAGGAATGATACATATTCAGGTCGTTTCAAGATATAGTTATGCAATATTCCATTCGCTTACACGTGGTTACTACTGAGATTCGACCCAAGCTGCCGAACATGGGGCCAATGGTGACCTTTCCAGGCCCGGCTATTCCCTTATCCGCAGACGAGCCAATGTAACCCTGCAGAGTCTTAAAACATGAAGATATCCTCAAACAACAAAGGATGGCTTAAACGGAAAACAAGCATCGTTGCTCAGTCAATGCAAAAGAATTGTTACAAATGCATAATACTCGCGATTCTGGCAAAGCTGTGGTGACGCGGCCCATACCAAGATGACACCCTATCCAAGCTCTACAGATGCGAGAAAGCCCGGCTTGCGTACCCACCAGTTCCCTAGATTAAAGCATGGTGCACCCAATCTCAGTGTCTGTCAGTCTGTTGTACTTGCTTTATCAATGAAAAACCTCGTCGATAATAAAGCTATGGGTAGGTTGGATATAATGTAGATAGATTCATACTGGCGGCGGAGGGAGGTGCCACCCTGGTCACTGCCTTTTCTTGAAGATCAATTTCACAGGACCAGGGACGGCCGTAAAGGCATCAACCGTGTCATCTAGGAAGGCATCATCACTATGATCAGGTGCAAAGGTAACATTATACCGCGTTAATATCTCTGCAATCACTCGGCGAATTTCCATCATGGCAAGCTGTTTTCCTGCACAGACATAAGACCCTAAAGATTCAAGTCAGCAGTGCATTCATTTCGGAAAGTATAGATGATCAATACCTCCTCCAAAAGGGAAAAATGCCGATGGGTCTTTGACGAGCTCAGGTCTGGTAGTCCATCTTTCAGGAATGAACTCGGTCGGTTGTGCAAATGCACGTTCATCTGGCCGCCGTCAAACACTCTCGTTATAGTAATATCTCTGTAGAAGAGATCCACTCACCTCTAAATAACGCATGCATGGGTATACAAACTGTGACGTCTCCCGGGATATAGGTGTCATTTATTTGTAGACCTTCCGGTGGAGTTAATCGCTGAAGACCAGAAGGTACAGCTGGATGCAAGCGAAGAGTCTCATTGATCACTGCCTCGAGCAGCTTAACTTTTTTAAGGCTCTCCTGTGTCAAATCTTTCAGTTCATCCAGCTCTGCCTGAAGAGTCTTATAGAGAGCTTGGTCTTTTGCAAAGTGGAAGAACATATTGATCATTGTGGCAGATGTCGTGTCGCTATAACCCTGATCAGTTAAATGCATCCTCGTCCTTTGGTTTCGGGCGGTTGTACCTTCCAGCAACACAAATGAGCTCGGCATCGCAAGTAAGATTGGCATAATCTTGCTTGGTCTTAGGGCCTTTTTCGTATCCCTGAAGAACCCATGAAAAGATATCCGGACTGTCAGGCGGATTCTGTCTCCAACAATGGTTCAGCTCCAGTTGAGGAATATTGATTGGTCCGAGGAACACGCACCTTGATTCTCCTATCCACCTGCTCCCCGAGCCATTGTAGGTTTTTCAAATATCCAGCATTCAACCCTGGAATTCTCTTAAAGAATGGAAAGATCCATGACAGATGGCTAGTAAGGCCGATCGCTTTCATATTGCCATGCAGCTGAGTGAGGAAGTATTGGTCTTTGGCTTCTGCCAGCATGTTAAACCCCTTACCGAATGCTAGATCACCCATCACATCAAATGAAAAATAGGTGAACCATTGCGTCATATTCATAGACTGGCCTAGGTGGCTGTCTATCGCATGAACAAGTTGGGTCGCATAGTACGAGAGACGCGGCTCGTAATTTTCCAACGCTATATAAGGTTTAGTTATGTGATATTAACAGCGATGAGTTTTTCGTACCTTGTGAGCTAAATCCATGGTCCCACACTTTTCTCTGCATTGCATGCACTTTCTTATCTCGGACTGTCTCGAGGGATACCCGAGGCTCACTGCAGGTGTACCATACACCTTTGGAAACCTTGGCAGACGAGCCATAGATCAGCTTTACAGCTGCGGGATCTCTAATTGACAACTCGGTTGGACCTGTACATGCCGGCTAATGAACAGATGGACAAGTAAAACTGGGCAAGCACTGACCTATGCGCACATAATCACCGTACTTCTCATGCAGCTTCTCGGTTTCTTCAAAGAGACGCAATTTCTTGGCGACCAGCGAGGTCACGTAGAGGTTGGAAAGTCGGGCAAGAAACGGGCCAGGGAACCGATTGAGTCGATGGAAGGCTGCGCGATAAAGCAACATGCTTGTATAAACACCCAGGATATGATACTTGACGATATCCAAAGCCCAGTTGGGCCGTTGTAGAACTTCGGTTGGAGGGAGGATTGATGAACATTGTAGCGCGATCAGGCCAAGTGTCAGAATAATATAGAAGATAACCATATCAACACCCTTCAGATCCCATTCGCCATGACGATATAGCAGATGGTGAACACTGACACCACTCAATCCCGCCAGAACGGGCAGGGCGCTTAGCGAGCGCAAAAACATGCTTTCACAGTGACTGAACCCAAGATCTTCGATTAAGGTGTTATGAAAGAGGATCACAGGGACATCACTTATATTTCAACTACTCTAGGCTCGTCCGAAGAAATAGGGCTTTAGTAGCGGGGCTTGGAGGGCCTGATATGGCTGGCCTAACGAGGGCTTAGAAGTGGAAAGGTTTGCAAACTTGATAACAACCACGAATCATAATTAGTGAACTATACCCTTGCTTACTTTAGCAGGTTCGTGACTACTAATTGGTTAAGAAGCTGGAGTGACGCTAGCTTTGGGGGCTGAAATAAAAGTAAGAGAGTCATAGTTAGAAAATATCATTCGGTAAAGACGAGAGAACTATTTATACCTCTCTAAAAAATACGATATAGCAGCTATATAAAGAGGCTAAGTATATAATTCACGAAGTTGTGCATAATTGAAATGGGATTGAGTACGGTTCTTGTACTCTGTACAGCCACGTTGCTTCCCACTCTTCTCTTGATTCTGGGTCCTCCGCCAAGACGCTAGCTTGAGAAATGAGTACATACAGTTATGAAGTCGATGAATACTGAAGTTTTCGATTTTATATGATTTGGTGCAAATTACTAGACGATACAGAAATCCCTCATTTCCACAATGGAGGTTAGGTGGAGGTAGACTAGTCGCGAGTGGAAGACTGGTGGTAAACTGTAAGCAAAAGCGCCCTTGAGAGTCGTGGCTGGGAATTCACATATGGCCATTCGCCTAATACATATTTCGGTTCCAGCATTCAAACTGCTAAGTCTGTCGCATAAAGGAACTGTACGTTGACTGTACAATGGACCGTATTCAAAGATTCATAAGGAGCGTCGGGGGTATAAACCAGATATCACATGACCCCTATCAAATCCAAATGAGCCTACTAGTAGAAGTGTCATGGACTTCGTGTTGCTGCTGATTGGTTCGTTAATATTCTTAGTAAATTTACTCATTGAGACCAATCTAGCACATCGAAACAGCAATGTGCATCGCCACCAGGCTGACATCTAGATCACATTCCCAGATAATGTGTATGATGTATCTAATAGGCTGTCAATGGCCGGTTCTCGGCACATATTGAGATCACACCCAGAGACTAATGACAGGTTCAGTGTTCCACATCAGTTGCATGTCAATTAGGGCATATTAAGTCGATATATAGTTATAGTAAGATTTACACTGCTTAGGATGCTTAACATTGTGTACAGAGAAATCTGACATTCGTATTATTATTACCATGATGATGATTGGTATTATGGTTGTTTCGTTGTTTTGTTTGAACCCGAACGCTAGGAGCAAAGAGCGCGGATATATATATAGTCGGTCCATTTTGCACCGAAAAATTGCCGATAGATATATTTTTCCGGCGGGCCGATCCATAACCTTCACATGCAGTTACGGTACAAATATCGGCAAAAACGGGTGTTTCTTCCACAACATATATAATCCATTGAGACATAACACTTTCCCATCTTGCCAATAGGAATGCAGCTTTTATTATTAATTGCCCGTAGGTACACCTCTAAAACGGTTATTCATCGCCAGTTGCTTTGAAAATAAATATTCACAATTTACACCTATTGAAACATGCGACATGACGGCCTCAAGAACCGAGGGAATAAAAGCTAGAACAAGGGAAAATAAAAGGAAGGATACAAAAGAGAACCACCAAAGAAGACATATCTCCGAATATATAACACACACTCCTTTACTTTTTATCCACTACCCCTTAATGAGAAGCCATCAACTTCTTGATCTCCGCAATAGCACGGGCGGGGTTCAGGCCCTTGGGGCAAGTCCGCGAGCAGTTAAGAATGGTGTGGCAACGGTAGACGCTCATGCTGTTATCCAGGGCGTGCTTGCGCTCAGCGGTCTTCTCGTCACGGGAATCGGCCAACCAACGGTACGACTGGAGGAGGATAGCAGGTCCGAGGTACTCCTCGCTGTTCCACCAGTACGAGGGGCAGGAGGTGGAGCAGCAGGCACACAGAATGCATTCGTAGAGACCGTCCAGCTTCTTGCGGTCTTCGGGACTTTGACGGTATTCAAGGCCCTACATATGGGTTAGAACAGGTTACTATCAATCGGAGGTCTGTAATAGATGTAGGGACTTACATCCTCGGTCTTCGTGTCACGCTGCAGGTAAGGCTTGATCGACTTGTATTGCTTGTAGAACTGGGTCAGATCGGGTACCAGATCCTTGACAACGTAGGTGTGAGGCAGAGGGTAGATGCGAGACTCCTTCGCGGTGTCGGTAGGAATGCGGCCTATAGATAGCACAGTCAACACCCCAATTCCTCCATCGTCGTACTTCAAAGTTGGCGAGTTACGTACACAAGCAGGCGAGAGTGTTGACACCATCGATGTTCATAGCACAGCTTCCACAGATACCCTCACGGCAACTTCTCCGGAAGGTCAGGGTGGGGTCCATCTCGTTCTTGATGCGAATAAGGGCGTCGAGCATCATGGGTCCGGTCTTGTTGAGGTCCAGAGAGTAGGACTGCATCTTGGGCTTCTCGGTGGGCTGATCGGGATTCCAGCGGTAGACATGGAAAGTCTTGGTGCGTGGCGTCTCGGATGGGTTGGGATCCTGTGCAGTTCAAGTCTTAGATTCGTGCACAGTTTTGGAACTGGCATAACCGGTCCCGCTCACCTGAGCAGCGGCGTCGACAGTCGCATAGGAGCGAGCGAAGACAGCCGGGCGGAAAAGAGGCTTCGAGGATGCGACAAGGCGCGAAGTTGAGCGAAGAGCAGCCATGGCGGGCGAAAGGACACTTGACGCGCAAAAAAGAGGAAATGAGATGAAAATAGGATAAGAAGCGGGGAGAGGCGGAGAAGATGGAGGAAAAGAGGGTAGCAGTCGTCAATAGAGAGAGGAGAGGGGCGGTCAAGTCAACCAAATGAACAGCCAGCCAGCGGCAGCGACGAGATGAAGTCGAAGGGAGTTGGAGAATGCTGTTTGTGAGCTTTACCCAAGAGGTAACCTCGGGTTTGACGGCCGGCAGACGGCTGACTCAGCCCACGGGCCAATCACGCAAAAGCTAATTGCAAGCGTCGGGGATACACGGCGAATCTTCACTCGTTCTTTGGGGAAATTCAATTCCCCTTCTTCCCACGTGAGAAGCAAGACACCTGAATTACTACTTGCGATCAACAACTATATCAATCTTTGTGACCGATCGGCCAGAGAACTAGGTATATACAACCAAGAACCCCCCGAACACTCTCTCCAATCCCTCTGCTGTTCTTATTACATCACGAATGAATTTGCCTTTGCCAATTGCCGCTTACCCAAAGGGGAAACGGAACCGAGTCCAGTTGCCGTCTCGACCCTGAAGGTTGAGGCATGAATGGGCAGCCGCCTGAGGCATATAGCCGCCGCCTGAGGCATAAAGGCTTCTCCAGATTATGGACTATTCCTAAACCGGAAGAGCCCGCAGATTTCTAAGTTTGGATCAATCATTGGGTGGTCCTTGTCCCTTGATGCGAATAAATACTCATCGCACAGTTCAGATACCTGAAGCATAGCGAGCTCGAATAAGAGACTGTTAATCGCCCCTTGTTGGAGTATTTACTTCTGCTGGACAAGATTGCAAGTGGGTTGATATTCATATACCACTCCTACCCAGCTGCGGACTGCGGAACATTCTTTTCTTTGGCACTAAAAGAGACTATCGTATTCTCTCACCCCTTTAATTAATTGACTTGTCTGGAGTCAAATAGGATCAGCTGATTGTGGCGACTAATCTACTATACGCTAGCCCGCTGGGACACTGTCTCATCTCTGAAAGCGGCCTGACATTCGAGATTATTACGAGCTTGAAGGCTGCTTCTTTTTGGTACAAAGAAAGATCGACTTAACTCCTGCTCCACGGGGTGTTATTTTTTGTTCAATGAAAGGAATGATTCTCCCCGGAGAAGAGAAAGACCCATTCACATCAGTATAGCGAGCGCTGAAAAAACCTATGAATGTTCCCGCCTATGGACGAATGATAACTATTATGGCCATTTCCTCGAAAGAGCAAGAATGTAGCAAGTCGGCATGTATATCAACATGGACTAGTTATGTCTGACTGGATATTTGAGTGAAGCGCGTTCCTGAGAAAATGAACCCACTGAGTGTACAGCAGTGATTACCTTTCACTAGTCCATAAGCTGCTGTTTTACTTTGAAAGCTCTTTAATGTCATTGAAAGCGTTTGGCACTCTATTATTACCTGTGGATCGGCCTTTTAAAACAGTGCTGTCAGCGCTCTAGACAGAATGGAGCTTCTCAACGGGATTAGGGGAGCCAAGATGAATGCTAATGGAGGCTGAATAGCAAGTAATCCAGGCAGGCCTTCATATGCCGAAGGTTTACAACATGGGAGATATGCCGATAACCCCTAAGTCAAATTAACTGTAGCATTTGAGATGCGTAGTGACAAGGTACTCCGGTTTTGGCCGCATGTGGTGTGGTGTGTCGATAAATTTGTGCTTGCCCACCACGCTCTTGAAAGGTATTGCCGTTACCCTAAGAGCTACATGGTACACAGATAGCTCGGAATTTACCCGTGTCTGAATTTATTTTCAAGGCTTTATTATCAGAAAGCTTTTCAAAGCGTTGTTGATGCGGATGCAGCGGATCTGATATCGTCAGGAACCGAAAACCCTAGCGGCCCACTGTGGACCGATTTCACAGCATTTTCTGAGGGATGTCCATTGTCCCCAACACAAAAGTAGATATTGCTCCGTCGCCCCGAGCACCATTCTCAAAAGATATTAGAGTGATTATGGCAAGGGGACCTTATAGAAGGTAGAAATGAACCACCTTTGCATCAGCAGCATGTCGCAAAAAGCGAAAAGCTAATGCTGAGGAAGGAAGAAAGAAGAGCTTAAACGTGTTGATCAACTGCACGGGGCAATGCTGATCTCAACCCTAATTCAGGTATGCGGTATGAATGTACTGCATCACGTCTCAAGGGTTCTCTATACGCAATGCCACCTGAAAACGTGGTTTCGGTAGATCTCCGGCTGCTTTAGAAATCAAATGCCAAGACGGAGAAACTGCTCCATAGTGAGTATAGATTCTGTGTCGTCCGAGACTAAGACTTTTAGACTACCAGACTAAGAAAGCCGAAGTGGCAATCGTGAAACACCATTAATGACCCTCCACCAAATAGCTTCAACGCCCAGTCTTGGCCACCTTGGTTGGTGTATCTCAAGATTCTCCATTCAGGGGAACATGGATAGGGATGGATCAAGTAGAGTTCGTGCCTCTAACTCTACTGGCTTCCAATGATCTGTAACGGACCGATAAAGAAGTGGAGCCCTGCTACCTTCGGTGGGCCGAATGGATCACTCGATATAAGATTACTCAGGCATTTTGTGCCCCAGCAGACTGGGACAAAGTTTTACTTTGCAGCACCGGAATGAAGTTGGTCGGACGTTTCATGTCTAGTCTCCGCTTAGTCCCATTCTAGAAACATAATATGATCAAAAGGGTGTTGCTTTTCCTAGCTCCACCGAGTGATAGAGCTCCTACATATAAAGCTGGGGACCTTCGCTCTGTTATTCCGCAGTATCAAACCATTCCTTCTTTATCATCCACTTTTTAGTCCTTCCTTTCTTTTCATTTGTCTTTCTTTCGAACATGAAGTACGCGTCTTTCATCGCCGCGGCTGCGGCTGCGCTCGCCAGCGCTGTTAGCGCCGCCGGCGTTTCTGGTGCTGCTGAGGGTTTCGCCCAGGGCGTCACTGGTGGTGGCAGCGCTACCCCCGTTTACCCTTCCACTACCGATGAGCTGGTCTCATACCTCGGTGATAGCCAGCCGCGCGTTATCATCCTCACCAAGACCTTCGACTTCACCAACACCGAGGGCACCGAGACGAGCTCGGGCTGCGCTCCCTGGGGTACTGCCTCCGGTTGCCAGCTTGCCATCAACAAGGACAACTGGTGCAACAACTACGAGCCTAACGCTCCTAAAGTGAGCAGCATCACCTACAATAAGGCCGGTGTTCTTGGTATCACCATCAACTCCAACAAGTCCCTCGTCGGTCAGGGTAGTGCCGGTGTCATCAAGGGCCGTGGTCTCCGTATCGTCAGTGGCGCCAAGAACGTCATCATCCAGTAGGTCTTTTCAGATCTTGAGCCCTCTACAACCCATACTAATCCGCGACACAGGAACGTTGCTATCACTGACATCAACCCCCAGTACGTCTGGGGCGGTGATGCCATCACTCTGAACGAGGCCGACCTTGTCTGGATCGACCACGTTACCACTGCCCGTATCGCCCGTCAGCACATTGTCCTCGGTACCCAGGCTGACAACCGTGTCACCATCTCCAACTCCCTCATCGACGGTCGCACCGACTACTCCGCTACCTGCAACGGCCACCACTACTGGGGTGTCTACCTGACCGGCTCCAACGACATGGTTACCATGAAGGGCAACTACTTCTACTACACCTCCGGCCGTATGCCCAAGGTCCAGGGCAACACCCTCCTCCACGCCGTCAACAACTACTTCCACAACATCGAGGGCCACGCCTTCGAGATCGGTTCCGGTGGCTACGTCCTCGCCGAGGGTAACGCTTTCCAGAACGTCGACGCTCCCGTTGAGTCCCCCATCAGCGGCCAGCTCTTCAGCGCCCCCGATGCCACCACCAACGAGCAGTGCAAGTCCGTCTTTGGCCGTGCTTGCCAGATCAACGCTTTCGGCAGCTCCGGCTCCTTCAGCCAGGCTGATACCGCCGTCATCTCGAAGTTCGCTGGCAAGAACATCGCCGGTTCTCACCTTGCTCAGAACATCCCCCGGTGGGTCATGGCCAACGCTGGTCAGGGTAAGCTCTAGATCATTGATCAAGAGATTAGTATCTAAACAATGGGTGTGGGTGAGAATGTTGAAGGGTTTGGGGATGATAATTAATCTTCGTGTATCTACTTCTTTTTAATACCTTAGCAAGCTACAATATTATAGACTTGGCTTGAATCTTTGCATTGGTTTTATGACATCTAGAAACGTACGGCGTGACCAGCATGAGGAATTGCCTTGTCGAGCATGACCCTGTTTCTCAGAGTCGCCATAAAATGATTTTACTAGCATTTGTGAATTTAGTTCGCTTCAAGTCCCTTCCGTCCTTAAACAGTGATATGCTGTATAACATTAATTTGGCAGCTTATCATGACGGTATTTCCCACAGCTTGAACGTAAATAACATGAACCTATAAGATAGAGTATCATTCTCCGGTCTAGAGATAATACATATCGCCGCAAAATTAGTTGGAAGGTCGTCAAAAGCATTAATATAGATACCCCATATATCTCCACAGTGTTACTACGATCGACTAGGGCTACACAGGATCCATGATCGTCGGCGGTGGAACTGTCAGGTCAATATAAGATCGACAATATAACCTCAAGAGGAAAGGATGTACGAACAAAACCCCAGGCCCACATGTTCTCTGCTCTCACACCTGTACGCGTAATGCCGACGATCTTGCCGATCCGCCTCTACATGAAACGCCTCCTATCCTAAATACAACGTGCATGCACTTCTGTTTGCTGTGAGATGTTCAATCAATAGACTATGCATAAAATGTCGGACGTGGAAAGCGCCAGTATCATCTTTTTTCGACAGCTCACGGCACCCATGACATGAACTACGAACAACGCTACCTACGGCAAGCGCTACCAAGACGAAACTAATTAACAATGATCAAACCAGGCCCAAAGAGTGTCGCCTGAGCAACGTCATTAACACCAGCGAAAGGGCCAGCACTGTTCGTCACAGCGGCGATAGTCAACCCGTTCAGCAGATTCTCATCGTAAGGGAAGAGAGCCTTCGCGACAACCTTTTTACCATCCTTATACGACACAACCTTTAGCGTCTCAACAATGGGAACGTTCAATTGATTGATATAAGTCAACCACAGCTTGTCTCCCTTAACCTCGTGCTCCGATTCCCAACTGACGAAAATAAATTGCGTCTTCGGCTCCGGCGGCATGATAATGTCCAGCGGTTTGAACGTCGTCAACGTGATATTATCTAGCTTAGGATAAGATCTTGGAATTGTAAAGGCTTGAATAGCTGTGAAGGCGAAATTCACATCGCCGGTTGTGAGCGTCGGAAGTTCGCTGGGGATTTTGCCCTGGTTGACTCGGAACCAGCCTTGTTGTTCTCCTTCGTTGCCGATCGTTGCGGCGATGACTCGCGTGAGGTCGACGTCGCTATTGTCTGCGAATCGCACGATCACGTCTTGTAATGTGGCGATGACAAGATCGGTGAAGGTAGCTGCTAGAGCGATGGCTGCGTCGAAGTCTGAGACGGGAAAATGATATCGGCATGGTTGGATTGGCTCTATCTTGAAGTGCTCGAGGCCTTGGTTGGCGGTTAAGGCGTGAAGTTCCTCTTGCTGGAAGGGTTTGTTAGGAAATGTTATCGCATGCGCTAGTATGAATGCTACTCACAGCGAGGATGGCTACCAGGGCGCCGATTATGAAATCTCGTTTCTTGGGATTTGGAATCTGATAGCCGGGTACGTTCTTCGTGATGTTCAGGAGTAATTCGTTGAAGAAGGCGACTTCAAACAGCTCATTGAACGCTATCAGCTGGAGATTTATGATTCCATTCTTGCTGATCTTCGATGGGAGGGGCGTGTTTGGTAGAGTGCCATGTGCTCTTAGCTGGATTTTCTTCAGCTGCTGTTCACTGGGATTTGGCATGCCATCAGGAAGGGGTATATCACGGGGCCAGATACTTGGAATTGCGAGACTATGGGATACCACAGCGGCCCAAACGATGATGATGTGAACATTGAGTCGCATTTTGACGTAGGGTAAGCGAATGATGACTCCTTGAGATTGCTGTGACTGAATCGAACAACAGGACAGTCTAGAGTATAAGACCAGATGAATGTTTGCTACTGTCAATGGTCGTGCGACTAAATAGAGGGGAAGAGAAACTCCGAGTTACACAGCAGAATTTAACGTGTAGTTTAGGCTACCTAGTCTGCATACAGCATTTAGAAAGAAATGAAGCTCCTGAATCCTACAAGTATGAGCGCAAAGCGTGTATGCTGTATGCCTTCATAATGAAGCATACACGTACGTCATATAGTCTCCTTCTCTCCAGATTCTCATTTCTCTCCCTTGGTAAAAGTCAGGGCTTATGAGGTCACAGTGCAATAGGATGCCTAGCATGAGAACCTTTAAATCCCCTGCCTTCTCTCGATCTTTCCCTCTCCACCATCTCCCCCTACACAAAACTACACACACTCACACTCACACATTTTTACACATCTCTCAGTTTACTCAGGATAAACACTCCTGCCATGGCACAGGGAAACAAAATCCAAAATCTGCTCGCTAAGCTCAAGAGACTTGCATCGAAGATCAAGAAGGTCCGAGAGCCTGTTCTTGAGGAAATGTCCTCTTCAGAGTCTGACGCTGAGAGCTTTGGATGTCCCTTGGAGAGAGTACCCACACCTTACTACATTGAGATAAAGCCCGCTCTAAAGATGAAGTCGGTTCTGAAGATGGAGCCCATTTTGGAGATGGAATCTGAGACTGAGACTTACGGATTGAGAAGGGTACCCACCCCCTATCCTTCCTTCATGACAACTGGAAGAGTGAACTACACGAAGTGATCCTAAGGACACTGGCGATTGAATATCTTGTCTGCATGTGTTTGTATTTTGTCATTTTTACTTATTTGACACACCCTGCCTTTCTGAAGGCTCATGTTTGAAAGCTCATGTTAACGGGTGTTGCTTCAGCTGCTCAAGCGAGAAGGATTTGGTCACTATCATATCATGTATTACGCATATTCCCTTTAGTGGAATGCTTTGATGTTACTTATAGGAAATCGGCTGCCTAACATAAATTGTTAGCAACGATCAATATACTGGTTATTCCAATTGGATCATTGTCCTTTTTCTTGTAGGCGCTTCAGTGGCTCATCCTGGCGTCATGCTAATGAGCTCATGAATTGTTGCCTGTCAGACCTCTGTATGGTAACTCATGCGCGGTAAGATTACTCTAAGCGAATGTGTGATTCAGCGAATCTTTGGCATGGGTACCATAAAGCGTATTGAAATATGACCAGTCCAGTATGAAGAGCTAGAAGTTGTACATACAAATGTCTAAAAAGGAAAGTGTATAACAACACGCTAGTCGCTAAAGCAGCAAGGATGCAAATGGAGAAAATAAAAAAGGAAAAAAAAAAAAAATTAAGGAGAATCACGCAAGAAACGCTTAATCACAAGACAGAAAGTGAACCAATAAATAAGCGACAAGAAAAAGAAGTAATCGCGGGCCTTTTTTATCTTTTCCATTTTTCTACCGGTGTCACAGGACCCCCAGCCAACGGCCAATATTCTACTGCTTTCAATTTTCGGCAATTTTGGTCATCCTCAACTTCAGCTCGCGGAAGCATAGTTATAGCTGCTGTAGTAAGGACTCGGAGTGTAACAACTGTAAGGCGAATTTCCATAAGAAGAAGTATTCCCATATGGGGGAGTATTTGCGTAAGAAGACGTATTCGCATAGCTGGATGAGTTTGTATAGGATGAAGTCGCATAGGATGGTGAGTTCCCATAGGAGGACGTAGTCGCGTAGTTGTAGCTATATGAAGGGCTGTGAGAGTAATCGCCGTAGGACGGGGTTGAGCTCTGTGTACTTCTCCCCATGGAGCTGAAGATGCTCGGCGGGGAGTAAGCAGACAAGGGAGAGCTGCTTGAGGATGCCAGCACGCCGAGGGAACTATAGGCGAGTGGCGTGGACGACTGAGGACGAGTCGTCGTGGGAAGGGAGAATTGGTATTGGCTTTTCGCGCTGGATTTAAATTCCGTTGGCTGGAAAGTGGTCGCTCGTGGGTCGAGGACCTTTTTCGAGCCGGACAAGGAATTGCTCCAGCGGGATTGAGATAGCCCGGCGGGCTTTGCCTCGACTGGCTTTGGCTCAGGCTTCTTGACTTCCTTCTCAGGCTCGGGCTGTTCGTGGCTCTCACTGGCTTTGGAAATGACTTCAGTGGCGGCTTCCTTCTCTTCCTCAATGGGCTTCTCTTGCTTCTCCTCGTCTGCCCATGTTGCGCTCGTCTGTGTCTCTTCTTCCCATGTTGTGCTGTCTGGCTTCGTTTCTTCCCACTGGGGTTCCTCCTGCTTCACCTCTTCCAGCTGTGCAATCTTCTGGTTCTCGTCCTGAACCACCTGCTTCTCTTCTTGATTATCAGTGATATCCTCAATCCACTGTGTAGAAATGCCCTCATCCGCTTTCTCCTCAACCACATCAACCTCCACCTTCTCATCTATTGCCTCCTGCCCAACAGGCTCCTCACAGACCTCCACTTCATCCCCATCTTGCTCCCACCTCCCCTCCACAACCTCTCCATATCCCTCACCCTTCAACTCCTCAACCTCCCCAACCCCCACAGAAACCTCATCCTCACCCAAAGAACCCCCAACCTGAAAAGCCTCCACACCAACAACAACCCCCCCGTCAAGATCCCCAAATCCCTTCTCAGTCTCTATCTCCTCAGCCAAACCCTCCTCGGCCAACCCCCCTCCACACAGTCCAGAACCATACCCTCCTCATCGACCCCATTAACCATCTTCACCTCCCCAACCTGCACCCCCTCATTCCCCCAACCGGGTGTCCCAGACTCCCTAAGAACCTGCTCTACAATCCTCGTCGAAATATCCCGAACCTCCTGTCTCCGGCGCTGGCGCTCTCGTTCCCGCCGAGTAGTCCGCCGCTCTTCGACAGAGTCCTGGTACAGGGTGAACCTGGTCTTGAACCAGAGGGTGAAGACCGAGGCCAGGACGAGGGTGGTGGTTCTTTTGCCGACGATAGAG